CCCAAGTCCTTCTGAAAACTTCATAGGACACTGCATCATCTTCCTCACACGCTGCAGAACACTTGTACACAAGGAGCTTGGACAGTGATGCTGGCAGGTATGTTTGTTGGGGCTACTCCTGCTCTGCCCCGTGGTGCAGCTGGCTGTGGCATCCCATGGACGGATGCATACTTCCTAATGAATGTCACAACACGCTCAGCTACATCCGCAGGAGTCACATTCACAGGCGATTTGCCAGCCAAGCCATGCAAGAGTGGTTCTGCTTTTGCATCTTCCACAATGCTCTGTAGCGACTTCAGCATTTAAGGACTGAGACCAAACACATCGAGTGCCACAGACTGATAAACCTGAGATCCCAGCAGTGAATAGTGGTGTCGCAAGGAGCCAGGTTCAGAGCGAAGCGCAGTTGTCAGTACGCCCACGATGAAAACTTTTTTGCTTTCTTTTTCAGCTACTTCGCGCTGAACTTGTGTAGCTGCTTCGCGCTGAACATAAGCTCTTCCAGCAGCTTGGGCGACAGCGATTCATAGTGGTTCTTGCCCTTACAGCTGCAGCCGGATGATTTTACTTGGTCCGCCCAGTTAAAATTGGCGCTTATCTTCACACTTATCTCAGGAAAGAAATACGAATATTTGAAGCAAGCCACGATCACAAAGCACTATATACATGATTATTTACATATCAGGAAGCAACTCAGTCGAAAATTCAAGCAAGTTACACATCCTCCTCGCCACTATCGTCGCTGGAGAGCTCAAAACGTACGATCCGGACAGCTGCTGCACGGGTCGTTTCATAGCTTGTTCCACTTCTCCTCGTCTCGAATCACGCTCAAAGGCAGTGCGTGCCTGTCACCTTCCCATCAGAAGCTGAGTGAGACTGCCCGCATGTTGACTGTAAGTGTTATCCCCGTTCGTCGTAATAATGCGACTTTGTTCGAGACAAAAAGGCAACGCCATATCACCGTCCTTTTTTCAAATCGCCTCTTGCGCTTGTCGCACTTGCTGATCAGCACCGTACCCACGCGAGCCGCTGGTGCTTGTACATGCAGCGCAGTGATAGCTTCCGCTTGATGTAGCTCCTGTGCGTACTGCACCTACAACGCCGTGCACCAGGCTTTTCGGCTAGTTTCCTGAAAGTCCTTTGCACGAGTGTTTCTCCCAGGACTTGGTGTTTCCTTTGATTAGCTCCTTTGCCCTGTCCTCTGTGAGCTTCAAAGTGTGTCCGTCGGATTGGTCTCACTTACTGGAGATATCGACATGAGCTGCAGTTTCTTCGTCAGCAATTTGCTGGTGATAGCCCTTCACTAGGCGCTGTACTGTGCAAGCACTGAAATTCAAGGTCGCGAAGCGCTTTTTCAGCTTTTCTATACCTCCCCGGGGTAAACAATCCTTGCCATCAGACAGCTGGAAGTAGACAGAAACTGTATTCTCCATCGCTCTGAAATGCGACCATCCTGACCTATTTTACGGACTCGAGCGGAGGTTGCACTGTTTTCTTGCGCTGACGGAAGTGTTCGTCGGCGGCAGCTCCGTCAAAAAGACTCAAACGAACCGATCGCAACTTCTGTGATGGTTTGTGCTGCCATGTCGTCGGATGCAATGGTCAATGGTCAGGTTCGGATGGTGAATCGGTGGTTCCATGGCGTGTGGCACAGGCAGAACACCAAAAAACCAAGTGAGAAGATAAGCGCCAATTTTAACTGGGCGGACCAAGTAGGTCTCGAATATCTGCAGCGAGTAGGGCACGCTCTTCATCTGCTGATCCCTGCCCTGTCGCGCCGGCGCCGTCATCGCTGTCGGAAGCAGCGGAAAGTTCACTGTGTACAGACTCACTCGAATCGCCGCGGAGGGCTTCTCCGTAGTCGACGCGTTTTTTCTGTAACTCGATGCTGCTATCACTGTCAGATGAGCCATCTGAGTGCTCCTCCGCGGAAACTGCCTGCTGTACTTGACCCTCAGCGGAGCTCGACTCGCCCGACTCGGAAATTTGACAGTAGCTCGCGTCAAGTGGTTCAAGTGCATTTCGCTCTTCTGCAGCCAGCCCAATGGGCTCCAAACTGCGACGATGACTCATTCTGCATGTGCACTACACTCAATCCAACTATCTTGTGAGCTTTTCTCAAGATCGTCTTCTTCAAAAGCTAGTCGCCCACTCGCTTTCTTGTCGACGACAAGGATGTAGTCGAAACAAAAACAATCTGATCACTTCCCAGCCGCGCACGCTTTTCCAAAAAGTTACGTCACCTTAGAAATGAAATTCAGTCATGACAACCTACAACTTACATCCTCCAGTCAAGTCAATGGAAAAGCTATGTAAACATCACTGAAGTCGTTACCACTATTTCCTTTACTCTTGTTATGACATTGGACCGGATCTTCCTACACAGTGCCTGCCGTATTTCCCCGATTGTTAGTCGCATCCCCATTTTCAGGTCCATGTCATATCATTTCAATAATATTCACTTCAGTAGTAAGTCATGCTCGATTATAAGTCGTACCTCCTTTGTTGGTGTGAGGTTTAGTGTAAAAAGGTGCGACCTATATTCGGGGAAATACGGTATTATCGAGAATACACAAACTAAGAGTTTGCAACTTCTATCTCGAGCTGTGATTGGTACACACATGGCAGAACTTTTGATAGCGTCATTCTTTGGGAGAAGTACCGGAAAGCGTCGAGGAAACACCCCGCCATCTCCTTCATTCGTTCTACTGTTGCTCGGATTTCGATATATTTGAATGGCCAGGGCTTTGCTTTGTATCAGTCACTTTCTACAGGATGCTTTAAAAAAGGTTTGCTCCCCACACCGGAGCTCGCGCTATTCCGCCGATTTACTTGACACTTGACTGACTCACGACTGCCATCCAGAGCACACGAGAAGTCCATCGAACCTTCGACTCGGCAAACCTGCAAGAAAGCGCCACTCCCTGCTCAATACACAGTGTTTCGGGGAATTCACCCCTCATCAGTTGAGCTTGAGTAGGCTGAGGAAGATTGTGCCTGAAGAGCACCACTTATATAGTGCTCTCCAGGCACAAACATCACCAGGGATACAAACTTACAGAGACGCTCCGCTTCCAGCGCGACAAACACCTCGTGAACACCAGATAGTAGCGTGAGTCAGTGTCGCTCCTGGACGGTGAGACAAACGTCGAGGACCCTCGGTCATTCGCAACGCTGTCACCTCCAAACCAACTAGTCGCAAGCCCACGCTGGGCACAACAGTACGAAGTAGTGGTTGCGACTTCGGCGATGATTTGTAAGAAAGGTTTGCTCCCCACACCGGAGCTCGCGCTATTCCGCCGATTTACTTGACACTTGACTGACTCACGACTGCCAGTGCTGCGTGACTCCGTGTTTCCAGCCGCGAGCTCGACTTCGTCACGGTGTCAGTTTCGAAAAAGTAAGTGTTAGTTTTTTTCATTTGACTCGTGAGTTCTTGTCGGCAACGTCCTCACACGCATGGCTTCCGTGGAGAATCTGTTCGGGATCAACCAAACCTACTTCAACATGAATGTGGGTTGTCGATGACAGCCTTTGGCGCGGTTCGTTGAGCAGGTTCTTGCTCAAAACACAGTTGAAAAAAAGTCACGAAGTTTTTGTATACGGAGGAAGTACAAACCTCCCCCTCAGGGTGAATACGTATCTGATATTGACTGAGTACGCGGTCAATATAGGAAATAAAAGCCGAGGTTACGAGGTTTTATTTCCTATACTGACCAAGTACGAAGTCAATATAAGATTTATCACGACGAACAGTCCATATTAATTCAAATTCCAGAACGATAACCTTATGAATCCCGGTTTTATGATTGCACAACCGTTGCACCGCCACCTACTCATGCAGTGGCAATGCTGCACTAGGCACCGTTCAACTGCGCAACCCCTAAGCAGTCAAATATAAGCAGTCAATATAGCCCTAAGGAGTGAAATATGCAGGAATATTTGACTGCTTAGGTATAGTGAAAATCAATGGGAGTCAATACTAAGGGAGTGATAAAGGCTTATATCACCCATATAATCAAATGATTAGGTATTCTTATGCTTTTACTCTGCTAGGCTGTAGAAGAAGGCAAGCAGCACCATTTGGCCCTTGAAAAGTCTGCGTTGACTACACCACCACCACTGTTGCACTCTGTGGCCAACCACATATACTTTGCACAGCAACAAGAGGTTCGGAGTACTGTAAAACCGCTAATTATGACACCGATGCCAATTTAACCATTTTAGGGAAAAATGTTTTTGCAACAGTTTTGCAGCACAAATCGAACTCTTTTATGTACAACACAGCACTAGTCATCTTCTTGTTTAATTCTGAAACTCGAAATTAAAAAATATTTCACCGAGAATTGGTCTAAATTCAGAAAATGCCAACAAAACTACCGGTTACAATTAGTAATTCTACAGTACTGAAACACTATTCAGACTAACTGCTGTTTCAGTCATTGAGACCTCATCGGAGAAGGCTGAGCTGTAGGATGACTTTATTAACCTTTTTCCATTCTCTCAACTAGTGACTATAATGTATTTTATCACTCTCTTATTATTGACCCCCACAGAAACTTGTGATCTCTAAGCGGTCAAATATCAGCATATATTGACCGCTTATATTGACCACTTATTATTGACCACTTAGCCCGAGGACTTAGAACTTTTTCCTCAACTTCAGTACTGAAAGAAGAAAAATCTGAAGCCAATTGCTGGGATTCGAACCCAAACTGTCAGATTCTCAGTCAAAGAACTTGGGGAACATACTACAAGAGACAACTGAAAACTTCGGTTTACACAGAAGTAATGTCCAATGTAAACGGCATATGTACATACTATTATACTATTACAATAGTATTCCTTTCTTCCTATAGCAAAGCAAAAACAGTTTTAGGTATGCTATGTCATGATAAATCTATTATTGCCCTCATAATCGGTCAATATATGAAATATAGACCTCGTAAAAGACCTCGGGGGACCTCGGTCTTTTACTCGTTCTATATTTCATATATTCTTTAATCGTGCAATAATAGATACGTACTGTATACACAAGGAGATATTTTAGTCTTCTCACCGGTACAGCTGGCTATGGGACTTTCCCAGAAGCCAGTAGACAGGCATTTGGAAGTTGCCATTCCAGACAATGTATAGCCGGTGTTGCAGTGGATGTGTAGTACACCATACTTTGTCATGCTGCTGGCTGTTGCACTGCCATTGTTGATTGTAGGCAGCGTACTACAGACAATAGCTGTGATCAGACAAGGCATAATTCCAAGAGATCACACACGGGGCTAAACAAATGTCAGTTAGGTCAGGTTTTGTTCTACCTATGGCTTCTGGTATGTCAGACTTGGACGTAACTGAAGAGGCGAGTTTATAAACGACTTCCTAAAACATAGTAGCGTAATGTAGTGGAATAAAATACCCTAGCATCTGCTTTGTTTATTTCACTGCTTTGTCTGTCAGAAGGAGGGCTGTCATGGTAAACTTACAAGATTTTGCGTCGTTAAGGAAATGTTAAATCCATATACAGGTTCCAGGTATACTTTCCTATGAAAAGGTAACTGATGGGATGTCCATTTTCTCATTCACTGTCCTTTTCGGTATTTGGCTATTTCAACTGCATGGCATGTCCAGTTCTATTACCTTCACATTCTGGAATGGTTGTCCATAACTGAGATGCCTGGCAGGTAATGGTTTGAGGACCATACATTTCAAATCCGCCATTGCAAGTGACATTGACATTTGTACCAACGAGTTGGTTCGCTGTGCTGTAATTGGCATTGGGAATGTTGAGGATCGGGCAAATCGCTGTGGTTGGAAAAAGAAAAGAGCAACATTCAATTGGCCCATATAATAATTATACTATCACGGGCAAAGTGTAACACGTATTTCATGGCAACTCAGAGTATCATGCTTGCGCGCTCCTCAGGCAAAATGAAGAAATAGGATCTTCAGTTCTGCTGCTGCACACAGTTGTAGTGGTAGCTTCCCATATCCGCTTCGTCGCAAACATTTGCCAAAACTACCCAGACTCTTTATGTCTCTCCCTCTGTCTGTTTCCCTCTATCTCTCTATCTCACTTCCTCTCTCCCTCTCTCCCTCTCTCTCCCTCCCTGAGTGCAGTTTTTGAAATTTCCTGGAAGAATCATGGTAAAATTACGTGCAAAGTGATGCAAAAAATCTCGCGGACCACGGCTCACGAGATATTTGAATCACCTTTGTCCAGTATGTTGCCTGGAACGACCGCTGATCTAGAAGCGATCACACTGGTGTTGTTCCGAAGCTTCAGAACACCCTGGCCGTGACATGCCCAGTTATCCCCTTAGACATGATTTTGTTGATCCTAAATATTTACTTGCCGTTAGTCTAGCTAGATTATGTATGATACTGCATTATGTATTATACTGTACAAGTAGAGTTGAAACTGGCTATTATGGACACAAGGTTTAAAGTGACGCCATTGGCATAACGTTATTACACATTCTGTACTAACGTTCACAGGTCGGGACTGTCGTTGTCGTGGCTACACTTGTACATGTCACTGTAGGACTACCCACTATGCCGAAGTTAGCATTGCAGGTTACATTGAATACTGGTGCACTACCAGTAACCACTCCATTCGTTATTGTAGGTGCAGTGCACACGATAGCTGTATTGGAAAGTAGAAAAGCAATGAACTCACTTCATACATACATTTGCCAGACAAGTGCATGCATGCATTATTTCCCACATAATGCATCGGTGGTTCAAACTGAATCGTTTCTGGGACTTAGGACAAACCAGATCAGGAGGCTAGTCGTTAGTATTTCCCTTACCATTGCAAGTCTGAGGACCACTCGTGCGTGCCCATGAGCCACCTGTTCCACAATCTGCGTACCAATTTATGGAACTCTTTGTATATCCCAGATCACAATCGAGGAAGGCCTGTGAAGGAAATACATCTCCACTTGGATAGAGGACATTTCCTTTTGCTACAGGAGATAAGGCGGTACCACAGTGTGAACTTGGTGGTGACACTGCATGGTAAAAATACAATGCAGAAGAAGGATTCAGTTTATTGACCCTGGTGATTTGATATTCGGCTCTAAAACTATGGATACTTTCGCAAACGACTATTCACTTCATGCCTTGCACAATCTAAGGTTACAAGATGCAATTTGCGAGGATAACCCTCATCCTCCAGATGCGATGTGGTCTGCATCGACAAGGAGTATGCTCATTATAAACCTGAAAGGGGTTTGTCAAGATACTGCACTCTGAGCTACATAGTCAATGCTAGGAGTGGGCATTCTTTCGAACGGATAATTAGCGATAATTGAGAAATATACGGCACCGAACATCATTATGTCTAAGGCCCACCAAGTTAATTCTATGCTACTCGTTCGACATTTTCTGGAAAAGGCATTCGGGCCGGCAGAGAAAAACAAAAACAGAGGAAAAGACAAACATCCATTCTATGTGTACTGAGCCATTTTGGACAAAAAAATAGCATTACTATCACTTGTATCCGAGTCGCCGCATGACAGCTGTCAGACTGGACTGGAGCGGTATACTAACAGATTTCATGGGTGGCTCCTTCGCACTTTGACGTGAGTCGAGTGGAATTCCGCTCCATCACGATCGTGGAAAATCTCAAAGTCCTTGACATCTGGAATCTCCGCTCGCTTGGTGAGCAGGCCGTACCATAAGGCTTGGAAAAAAGAAATTTTCATCGCTCGCATCTTCTACGTACCCTTGTCTGGATTGCAAGATGATCGATAAGCTGAAAACCAGTCACCGCTGAATTTTGGCCGCTCAGTAACAATTGATGCTTGCGCTCCATTCCCCAGACACGCACGCCCGTCCTCGCTCGCACATTAGCACACGCCTGCACGTACCTACATGCACCCATCTCCATCCGGTTGTGCACTTTTATTTCTCTCAGGGTATTTTTCCTTTTTCATGTGGACAATCAACCATCGCATGTATCAGAGCTCAATAGAGACAGAAGCGGAAAGGTTGGCACTAAATTCCTGCCCTGTACCCGAACTGTTCTTTTATTGTTATCATTATTATGGGGGGGGGGGGAGGGGGAGTAATCTAGTCACCTCCCAATATGTAAATTGAGGTAAATATGCACTTCAATCCTGGGAGGTGATGGTGATCCTACCGTGGGGAAATCAGTCTAACTGAGGCTCACTCAGACCGTGCATGATTTTATCTATTTTTTTTCCCAGCTCAATTCCACCAAGAGGAAAAATAATGATATGTCCACCTCTGAATGATGCACATGAGTTTATACAAAACTAAGGCGAACTATAATACACACTATACACCGGCAACTCCAGAAGGTCATCATTTCCAACTGTCCTGGACTATTACAAGACTGAGAAAACTATGAACTTCTAGGCGGTGAAATTCAACCCTACGCAAGTGATTCAAATTGTACGTGAGAATGGGAAGATTCCTTTTGCCCTCTGCATTCTCTTCAGTTTTCTGTCGCGGGCACAATGGAGTAACATCTGCTCAGCCATTTAGTCTAGTACTGCTCTTCTTAAATTTGACCTTTATTACAAGACTCTTCTTTTCTTTTTCATTTCGTTCTCCCACTCTCACACACACATGCTCACGGTTAATTCTGCCGTCGTGAGACCCTTTCGGGACGGATACGAGAATAATAATAATAATAATAATAATAATAATTCTGGAAGAGAAAAAGACATATGGATACGAGTTAAGAGTAACTCTCCATCACTGTAACATGATACTATATACAGTTGTTGTAGTTGGAAGGCTGTCGGTTAGCGCTACGGAGATGTGTTAAAGCTAGGTGTCAGGACGTCGAATGTTTCAGTACTCTGTCAGTTTTGTGCCTAGTTATTGCACTTTCTGACTGTATATAGTATCATGTTACAGTGATGGAGAGTTACTCTTAACTCGTATCCATATGTCTTTTTCTCTTCCACATTTATTTATGGCTCAACATCCGAGTTTCAAATAATAATTCTCTTCAGTTATTCAAGGTGTTAGCAGCCACTATAAGATCGTTGTCGAACAAAAATGAAAATTCAACTTTTCCTCTTGTTGAAGATGCGGGGTCGCACTTCACATTTTTCAGCCATTCAGTCGAAAGCTGGCGGGATACTTCCACCTTTCCATGGTGTTTAGTCACAATTATGTACTCATAAATATTATGAAGGAGATTTATTCCCCGCTCCACCGTTAGGGGCTGCATCTGCCGCTAGGGTTTACCGGATGCTAGCGGCCATCGTGAGTTCCCGGACACAATAATTACTTTTTATTTTTTATTCCCACCTTGAGGTTATATTAGAAGTTTGCTCCGTAATACAACCATTTTTAGAAAGATTAAATGTGTTATTTTCGGTTGGCTGGACGTAGCGAATGAAAAGAAAAATGTATTTTTTGCCAGCATTTTCACCACAATTACGGCACCAGGATTGCGTCAGCTGTTTTTTTTGTCAGTGTTCTCGAACTTTTCTCTTCATCGTGGTCTTTCTCTTTTCGTTGTAGTTTCCCACCCACCCTCCCCTTTATTCTCACTTCTGGATAGGTCCTACAGGCTATGTTTTGTTCATATATCTTATGGGGTTATGCTAACCGCTTTTTCCTCAGGGTTGTGCCTCCGCCGGGGTCCTGAGGTTTTTTCTGCCAGCTTCGGGCTGGTTAATTATCCGGCGTCCCCATTCACCACAGTGGTTCACTTCTTGCATGATGTTGGTCTGGTACATACGTGTACGTGTATATGTGTGAGGTGGCATGCCCTTCTTCTTGCTCATGTATACACTACGCTAAGCTCTTCCATCTTCCACCGTGAGTGAACAAAGACCACACTACTACTGTGATCTGTATCTTTCTGTTGTGTGTGGGTGTGTGTGCGGTGTACGCAGAGGCTAGCTAGCTGGCAAAAATACATCTTAATTTCTCAGATTTTACCTGCATCAGCTCTGACGTTTTTACACATGACAACATCACCGGATGGGCACGGTGTCACCATAGCAGGATAGCAGGTAACACCTCCGCTTCCGTCAGATACCCAAATGGAAATGGATCTTTTCTGCGCGGTGCTGATGTAAGCGATATAGGACTGAGCACAGATTCCAGTGATGTCAGACATGTTCACTAATGTAGCATGGGCAGCAGTACACCTAGCCTCTGCACCTGAGGAAGCAGTTCCGATCCAGACGCTGTGGCTTAAAAAATAAAGCCCTCCATCGTTGCAATTATAGTGGGCTAATGGGAAGAAAGAGAGAAAAGTGGAGACAGTGCAGAGGTGTTGCAATACGCGAAAGTAGAGAATTCACGTAGAGTGCAAATGTATGGGTTAGAGTATGCGGCCTCGGGTGTTTTGGGTCCAGATTTCTAGATGAGGTTCTCTACTTAATATTTATTCAACATCTCCTTGCTCGTCGTAAGACTGCCAAGATTTATTGGAAGTCGGGTGGTAGCCAACCACAGCGAACCAAATAAAAAGGAGAGAAACAAAGAGAGGACTGCAATAAGGGGTATGACGAAAATGGTGAGATTATTTAGGAGGAAGAAGCTGAAGCTCGAACTCCTTAATGTCTAGTTGGCAAGGGAGACCAGAGAGTGCTTTGTGGCACACCCAAAGAAAATGCTTGCTGGTCTGCTGGGTATTATTCAACAGCCAGCAGAAATCGACCAAAGTGCACATTCCAATTGACTTCTCTACGGGAACGTCGAGTAGAACAGGTTTCTTTTATGGTGCTGGAAGAGGGTTCCTGGGATTCTCCTTGTGGCCTTCTTGTAACGTACAGCTAAACTTCACTGACATCGTGGAAACAATTCGTGTGAAGAAAAATCCTGATAACATTCTGAAGCGAAAGATGAAGTACATGTAATCATTCCGAAGTTCCTACACCTTTCAGAGCATGTGGGCAGTCTGACACAATCGAAACATCAATACATTGAATTGGATTTTCGGTTTGATCACTTTGGAGGTAGATCTGACCTAGTCACATGCCACACCTTTAGGAGCTGCATCTGTATATTAATCCTTGACGGTGGTGGCATTCATACGGATAAGGTAAACTCGGCCCAAACAAGTACCTACGTGAACCATAAATTATTTAACTTGTCAAAAGAAAGTCTGGGAAGGCTCTAAGTTAAGAATCACTGCATAGCAGGAAGTTTCCGGACGGGAATATTTTCGGACAATGCCGAATTTCAATAGATTTTATTTTCGTATAGTGTTGTATGTTAAAAGGAGAAGGTAAGCCTATAATCAAATTTTCACCAGTTGTAGTCTTCGGGGTGCTGATTCGAATGTTCTTGGTCCTAGGAAGCTGAGACTCTCCCTTCCTCCCTTGTTCCCAATCAAACTCGCGCACTAGATGGGGATTTGTATGCAAAATTTCACTGAAAGTGCCATTTCGTTCTTATAAAGGTATGGATGACCGGGATTGGCTCATATTTTGTAGTCTTTTGGACACTAAGTCGCCTGGTTTTGATCCGAAAAGGCTGCGACGTTGCGTTCAGCCTTTATTCCCAATCGAACATGGTTGAACAAGCGGTCACGTGCTCCTACGTACACCAGTCACCTCATCACCGCGCCAGCAGGCGACAAATTTCCCATCAAGGTTCAACTCAAAGGTGCAAAGGTTCAACTCGAGTGACAGAACCTCGCTCAAACATGCTGTAAGTTGTAGCCTGCAGGCACGGTGACCAGGTGACAGGGGTCCGCATGAGCACGTGACCGCTTGTTCAGCCATGTCCGATTGGGAATAAGGGCCGGAAGCTTCATCGCAGCCTTTTCGGACCAAAACCAGTTGATTCAGCGTCCAAAAGACTACAACATATGGGCCAATCGCGGTCATCCGTGCTTTTATAAAAACGACATGGCCTTTTTAGTGAGATTTTGCATATTAATCCCCATCTAGTAGGGCACAGTCACCCAGTTTCGGTGGAAGTGTGCGAGTTCGATTGGGAATGAAGAAGGAAGGGAGCGTCGCAGCTTCCGCGGACCAAGACCATTTGACTCAGCACCCCGAAGACTGGTGAAAATTTAGTACAAAAGAGGCCGTGTACAAAATCGTACGAAAATACATCCGGTCCGAAAATTTCCTGCTACTATAGAGTAACATGAGAACTGGAAGAATACCAAAATATGTGTGCGGGTGAATCTCTCAGATTTCGCTCAAAATTTGCAGGTAGGTTCCCTTTGGGGTGAAGTTCGACTGTGCAAGGCCCTTGAAAACGTTTCTGAAGGGAACCTTGAAACTTGCATACCCCTCAAAGTGTCCTAAAAATCACATTATTTATGGGTCTATAAACGAGTCACCCTACAGCGTACACGAACAAGCTACGAACAAAACTCCATCGAGCCAACAATGCCTACCCTTAGACGAGTTCCTGGAGCAGTACTGCTTTGTAATGCCAGCATCCCGGAAGACGAGGGCCATCACCCCCTGATGCCGCAAATGATCGTCTTGAAAATAGCCAATTTACAAACGCTGATAAAACAGACTGCTACGTCCTCAATTAGCATGTACAAATCACATCACTATTACAAACTTCACATTTTTTACGAATTGTATAATATTTTGAAGGCAGTTTTCGGAACTTCTATCTTCGCTTTTGGCTTTGACAGTCATTCATTATCTAATTGACCCATATTGCATGTCTCTTGAGCTATGAAGATGCATTGTACATGTCCGTTACTATGGTAGCCATGTCCATTTTTGCAAATAGGCCATAACTCTTGAACTTTGGCACATTCTGGTTTTCAGGGATCAGTCACTGGTTGTTATGCCATTCCCTATCTGCCGAAAATCCTTCCTTGAACAGGCTTTCACCCTAACTCCTTATTCCTTGGACTTTTGCTGGCTTGGCTCCTCGACTATCCAGACCAACGGGTGTTCAGGGCCAGTAACA